ATCCTTAGTTAAATATCGAAATAATATGATTTTTCCCCAAAATAAACTGCAGAAGTTATATGTTTTTTTAAAATTTAAAATAAGAATTCAATTGCAAATATAACCAGTGTAAAAAAAATCTGGAACGTAGTTATCTAGAAGAACTTCTCACGTTTATATTGGAGAAAAATTATGTTTCTACGACTATCGAGAACTGAGGAAAATGCGAAGAACCTAAGCATGTTTTTAGGGGGCAAATTTTGTTACCAAAACAGCCTTTTAAGTCTAATTATTATTATAAAGTATATTATATCCAAACGAGTATTGATATTTAGATCGTATTAGACATTGACATAATGATATGAGTTTGGGAAATTACAAGTAACGAGTATGTGACTGAGTTTAATTTTCATGTATACAATAACATAATAACTTCAATTTAGCGTCATTTATACAAATACTTTGATTGCCATATAAATTTAATCTACTAACTGAACCAACCATTTTAAAGTTATCGTTATGTTGCCTTAATGTTGCTTCGAATTTCGCAAAACCAGGAATTGTAGTTACTTGGATCTCATAATCTTTTACCGAATTATTATCTTTTCTCATTTCAACTGACGCTTTGTGAATTTCGTGTAACGTTAGAAATGCACAAAGTGTATTATGTGCCGACAACTTGAAATTTATATATTGCATTAAGGCTTTGGAAGCTTTAACGACGTTTGAGTCATCTACAGCCAATTTTACCCTCTCCTCATGACACGCACAATAGTTTTTAGGTATTCCCGCTGTTTYACAATTTTTCCTTTCGGAAATTTCTAGGAACAAACTAGTACCTCTTTTATTTTCGTTCATTTTCATTCGTGTTGCAATTGAATCGTCATCGAGCTGTTTCATGTCGATGAACTCTAATAGTGTCTCGTGTAAATCATATGGYGTAGTAAGCCGATTTGTGTTTTTATTCAAATTTTCCATTGCTCCGGGATACATGTTTTGAAACCATTGCGGTATGATGAAATTCAACATGGGTAATTTATCCTCCAAACTACCCTGGTATGTGTCCCTAAAGCATCCCCACCTGATTCCATGATCACTCATTAGTATGACAATCGTTTTGTTGAGCTCGCCTGATTTATTAAACGCATCAAAAAAGTTTCTTAAATCGTCGTCGCCAAATTTTGGATACTCAATATAATCGTGCGTTAGACTCGTCGTCCAGAATACACTCATGTATAAGTGATTAGTCATAGATAATGCAATTTTTAAAGCATAATCAAGCAACATGGCCATACCCAACCTAGAGCCAAGACAACCTATTGTGTTTCCAATAGATTCGTGGCCTATATCGTTTTCAGCATGGATCATAATAGGTCTTAAATAGTGGTCAGTGGGTTGTTTTAAAAATCCAGATTTTAAATAATTAAACATTCCAATTAAAGTACTATCTTCTGCAAAAGCTGTGCTAAAATTAGCATATTTATAATCATCCCATACAAAATTACAGTTATCAAAAAAATTGTTGTTTTCAGGCCAACAATTTATTTTCAACTCTTCTATTGACATTCCAGTTAGTGTAGGAATTACATTTGGAAACGTGTTGTCCTCAACTTTATTATAACCTATCATTTCCACAATTCCAATTTTAGATAAGAACGCACTAGTTTTTGGCATTTGTCGATGAAAGTTCATACGAGACACCGCGTCCAAACCCAAAAGTAATATACTTACTTCTCCGTCTTTTCGGTTTCTTACTGTCGGAGTTGGGCGTATGAATATATGATGATATTTGTAAATTATAGTTGAATTTAATGTGCATACTACTTCAACCATTTCATTTGAAACTGTTGTGTTGTGTACAAAATATACTTTTTYGCCAAGTCTATAAGAAAAATAATACATTTACAATTATTTTCACATAATATTTCTAATTTAAAATAAAAATAATATGATCGTATACATATAAATTTATAGTTATGTTATTCAGTTATTGTTATATAAGGTGTAACAGTATTATTAAACAAATTTCCATTACAAATATTACTATATTTGTTAAATAGTACAGTTAAAGTWTAATACTGTTAAACCCTGTATAATAACATATCTAGTATATTATTATTATTTTATATCACAGACCATTGCAAGTATGGTGTATCTTACCACTTAATTTAAAAATATTATGTAATATGTTGTGAACGCTATTAGGTAATTAGGATTAGCGTTAGGATGTACTATGTAAATGTCAAGTGAGCCTGTTAGTGAGTCAGTTTGTTTTTAAGGGTGTCAGTTAAAATTGTAAGAATAAACAACAAAAACAAAAGTCGTAAAAACTTTAAGAGATTCATACAATTCAAATAACCTACCACAACATTATAAAATAAAATTTTAATTTTATATCACAAATTATAGACAGTTAAGTAGTATCATATATATATATGTGTATTATATATATAAGAATTAATTAGTTTAGTTTTTCCCTATTTCAGTTATTAACTAATTGCATCCATTTTGCATTTTTTGGACGGTTCGATTAATATACTCCCTCTAAAGAACAGGATTATGAAAAGGAACATGAAAACTGCAGGTCAAGTTTCTATTTAGAAACTATAAAATATAACCTAAAAAACTGTTCTCCAAATCAGTTTGAGTAGTTGGACAGCTAACTAATTACTTTGCTATAATATTTTAATTTTTGACGATTTATTTACATTATTTATTTAGAACACTTGGGTTGAAGGTAGTGGATTAACATGATCCATTCTGCTTACCTAAAATTTAAAACATATTAATAACTAGGCCTAGATTTTAATACAAAATGAGTTGTTTTYGGGAAAGTCACCGGAAACGCTTTTAAACTATGAAATTCGTTTCATATATTAAATAGGTACATCGTATTTTCGTTTTTTTAAATATGTTATTATAATTTTGATAATGTTTAGTGTATACTTCATATCATAAAAATTTTTATATTAAACTTAAGTGATAAATCAAAAATGCTGTTTGAGACCATTTCATAATATTTAGTTATACAATTAGCCCAAACATTGAAAGGGAGCTGAACCTTTCAATAAGTTAACCTATAATAAGCCCAACGAAGCTTTGCCCAAACAACATTGTAAATTGTATATAGCAGCGTTATTTAACTACCTTAAATAGGYGTGCGAAGGCCTCCATTTTAGGGTATGCAGAAGACTACCACTGGGGCACCCTTAAAGTTTTTTTTAAGCTTTCAAAATTTTGACAATACTCAAATATTGAAGTGTTTTACTGTTTAATTA